ACCCAGGTGTTGCCTTTTAGATTGATTATTTAAACATTAAATAGTTCTGAATGACTACTCTTGGTTTCACCTGTAAAGATTGCATGTTTTGTTAAAAAAATAAACTAACAAAGACAAGAGAGCCGACTATGGGAGAAAAGCAAAAACTGATTAGAGCTATTGGACAAACACTAACATAGAAAAGGAACGAAACTACTGGCGTAAAAGACATAGAATAGGTCAGCCAAGGAAAACAACAGCAATTGATGACAAAAAGATTGGAATTTTCAAGGAAGTGACAAAAGTTCTGGAAGAATGTTTTATGGACTGAGGAGACCAAAATTAATCTCTACTAAAGTGATGGAATGGCCAAAGTGTGGAGAAAGAAAGAATCTGCTTATGATCCCAAGCATACAAGCTCATCTGTGAAGCATGGTGGAGCCGGTATCATAGCTTGGGCTTGAGTAGCTGCTTCTGGAACAGGCTCATTCAAATTTATTGATGATCTAACTCATGACAGTAGCAGCAGAATGAATTCAAATATCTACAGAAATATTTTGACTGCTAATTTACATAGAAATTTATCCAAACTAATTGGGAGAAAGTTTATCATGGAGAAGGAAAATGATTCAAAACATACTGCCAATGAAAGGACTTCATTAGGGGAATAATGGACAGTTTCAGGCTGGCCAAATCAATCACCAGACCTTAATCCAATTGAGCATGCATTTCATCTCCTGAAAAATAGACTGAAGGAAGACCGCCCCCCCCTGGAAACAAGAACTGAAAAAGGGTGCATTAAAAGTGGAAAAGCAACACAAATGAAGAAAGCAAAAGTTTGGTGATGTCAATGGGTTGCAGGCTTGATGCAGTTATTGCAAGTCAGGGTTATGCAACCAAATATTAAATGTTATTTCGTTCAAGACAGTTTCTTTATTTTTGCTCACTTCAAAATGGGGTAATCTGATACAAAAGGTGGTATGTCCTAGGGGTTTTCACATGTCTAAAATGTAAATACCAGGAGATAAAAGCTGAAATTCTGAACTTGTATTCATCTTTTTATCTTAAATCCAAATGTCTTCAGTGAACAGCAAAAAACAAAGAAATTGGCCTTTCCATTCCAATACTTTTGGAGGGGACTATATGAGAGAGAGAGGGGAGTTGGCTCACTGAATTCTGCCAGAAATTTTTCTCGTCATAGCCCATCTTGCACATTTAGAATTCTTCCATTCATCCAGGTATTGCAGACATATGCTGGTCTGGGACTCCTGATGTATATATCTAGATTCTTGGCAAAATTCAAAGTCTCTGTTAATGTGATTGATCCTGACCTGGCATTCACTTTCTTGCCAATGTGATGTGGCTTCTACAAATATTTTCATGGTAACTATTCTGATGAGCTTTTTACCCCCTTGTGCCTTGACTACATGAATTTAAGTGTGCTACTAAACTGGCAACTAAATCTCACCATTTTACTGTTGAACTAGCTCGATGCAACCACTACTTTTGTTCTAACAGTTTTTCTCACATGTGGAACTCCTTTCTAATTTTCTTGCTTCACTTCCAATCTTCAAATATTTAAATTCAATATCAATTTTCATCTTCTGCCTTCCTGAACCCAATTCTTTTATTGTCCTTTCCTCACTTCTAGTCACTAAAGACTTCTCAAACTCTTTCATATCCTGTAACCCACTGCACCTTAGTGGCATTATTGTTTTGCCTGGGGTGATATGATTAAAACATTTTTTAAATATATAAGACAAACACTGGTTGTAATGTTGCATCAACAAACACTGACTGTAATGTTACATCAATAATTATTTCATCAACAAGTAAATCAAATTTTATTTAAACAACGACAATTTCATAATAAAAAAGAAAAGAAACTTTTATTAGCATCCACAAAGTAAGTCCCTTTCCACGATCATCTTCATAATATTTATACTCAACTGACGGTGTTGCTATGGGCAGTCCTCTCGGCCCTGTATTTTGAAACATTTATATAGCAAACTTAGAAAGCAAAATATTTAATAAACCCGCTTATATATGCCAGATATATTGTTGACATCTTCACTCAAACCAAATCCTTTACTGACATTACAGAACTTAAAAATTAAAATAAAAATCTGTTTTAAAGTTCACTTATGAAGAAAATATCAATAAAAAATCCCATTTCTAGATGTTCTCATTGACTATAAAAGGGATCATTATACCACGTCTATGTATAAAAAGTTTACTAGTTCTAGTATTAGTTGCCTTCTAAACTATAACAGTGAATGCCCGGAAAAATATAAAACTACTGCCATTAATAACCTGATCTAAAGAGCCAAGCTCATTTCCTCATCCAAAATAATTTCCTTTAAAGAAATAATATAAAACAGACACTTATCAATAATGGGTATCCTAATTATTTCATCAACAAGTAAATCAAATTTCATTTAAGCAACAATTTTAATAATGAAAACTTGCATAAAAATAATATTGACAATAACGCTATTAATAAATGTTAGCAAAATCAAAGCTGCTACCATATTTCTTGTACTTTTCTTCTGAAATGAACTTTGGATAATTTCTTGACTGTGAAGGATTACTTGTATCTTCAAAATGTCTGTTGTTTTTTAATAGCATTTGCCTTAAATAATATAAAGAGTGGACAGAGCATGTTAGTCTTGGTTGGCAGCCTGTCTAAGAGAAGAATCGCTGATTTCAAAACCACGGTAGATGGGACTTCTTAGACATCTTGATAACCCTTCAAGTGAGCAACAACATTCTTGTGATAAGGTTGGATGAGCTGCAGTTCAGTAGCCAACTTCCAAGTAATGGTCAGAAAAGATTCAGGGCCCATAGATGTCACTTTTTTTTTTTTTAAAAAAAAAAAAAAAAAAAAAGAATCATGGACATAAGGATGTGTTTGCAGTGTAACAGACAGTGGGTTACAATGAGAAATTAGAGAGCTGAGTTCATTGCATTCACTTTATCCCTGGGAAAATTATGAATCCATCGCTTCTATCCTCATCTATGGGTTAAATAGCAGGGCTCTCTAGCCTTGGTTGGCAACCCAGTTCAAGAGGAGGTGTGTGAATTCAGCCTCATAACAATTGTCCATAGTCCTCTCAACAATGAGAACGGGATGAAAAAAATTACCTATCAATTTTGTACTACACTAATCTTATAAATTGTACAAGTCAATTACAAATGGATCAGGCCAAGGTACAGTCAGTTATGTGCTATTATGTTAGTTCCATTTTAAAATAATTCTATTCATTTATGCAACCCACATTTTCTAAAGATGGCATCTTGTCAGACGCTTGTAACTCTTCTTTCTTCTAATTATATAGGGATTAGTTCCCCAGGTTATTACTGATCCTATTCTGTTTTATTGTCAGCACAGGTGGCCATATTCAATTAAGTGAATTGTCATTGTTTATTAAATTTATATTCAATATGAACTGAATAATTCCTGTGTCACATTCTTCCTTCTTCGCCAGCAAAGTTCAGCCTCACCATTCCCATTCTGCTACTCTACACATCTGTTCAGATTTCTTGTAGAGATTTTACATAAACATAAATGTAGGTATAGCTATTGCAAGAAAAAAAAATCAATCACAGTAGCCCACAATTATCTGTAAGGGATATATTGTAAGACCTCAAGTAGATGCATTAAAACTGGAGTTAGTGTCAAACAAAACACATTTAAATTTATATCTTATTGAGTCTATGAACCTGTGTCAGTGGGAAGTCCTGTGAATTCAGCTTCTGCTCCATATATAATATTATCATTTAAACATTGCTCATTGAAGGGACAATTCTCTAGTTGTGATTAGATACTAAATATAAACTGGTGCACTATTTAATAATTTTTCATTATGCCTTTTAATGATAGATTGCCTGTTGAGCATACAACTACAGCAAAACTATTTCTATCTTTATTTCTACATCTACACTGCCTATATATCTACAAATGCTGATACTGAATACTCTTCCTCCATAAATATAACAAATTTTAAATGCTAGGTACATAAACACACAAAATGTTTTTTCCAATACATTTTCCAATTCTAATCATTGCCTTTTAAAACAATAAGCATTGCTAAAGAGTGAACATAGATAAAATAAAAGCAGTACCTAAGGAAAAACTGTCCTTTTGACACTGTCTTATTGCAGGCATGTTTGTCCATGGTTGCCGAAATTTCTATCATCACTGATGGGCACATTGGCCATATATAATTTGTAAAAAGATGGGTGGTCCTTAGCAGATACTGTTAGGCAAAGGAATTCATGTCAGCAGGACTTTTACATCTAAATATGCCTAACATGGAACAATGAACTTCCTGTCTCACCTCTAGCACAACTCTGGCCAGTAAGTACCTTTCATTTCCTTTACAAAAGGTGATAACCACTTAGTAGACATACCTGACCAACACATGTTCCTTTTCCATTTATTAAAATCCTTATTCAGATGAGAGACTCACAATGTCACCATCTTGTCCTCTTTTGGCCAAGGTGTGAAATCCAAGAAATGAAAAAAATGGACATATAAATGAAAATAAAAATAGATTTAATTTAGGGATCATGAATACTCTATTTCACCCCAAGCAAGGCAGGAGTGCCACTAGCACGCAAGGGGTTACAGAAAGTGGGAGCAAGTGTAAAGAGGCGTGAGAGGAAAGGATGAAGAGAAGGATGGGGAACAGATCAAGACATCTGGAGATGTCGATTGACATTGCATTTGAATAGTTGGAGATTATAGCTATCAGGGAAGCAAGTAAGAGGAAGGGAGTTGCACAGATGGGAAGTGCGAGACATAAAGCTAGTGGAGTAGAAGAGATGGCTAAGATTTTAAATTTTCAAAAATTAATCAAATTAGAAATTATTAAATTTACATTTTATCATTAAGGGAAAAATCAAAAGAAAACTAAAATAGAAAAACAATGGAAGCAAAAAAGACAATGAATTACTGAAATGAAATTAAAAAAAAGAAAAAATATCAAGAGAAAAAAAACTTAATGAAAATGAAAACATTAAAGACACTGAAATTGGAGGAATAAGATTAAAAGATGATACAGATAGGAAAAAATTAACAGCAAAAAGAAAGAAACAAAGAAAAAAGCAAAGGGCAAAGATCTGAAGAAAAAAAAAGGAAAGGGCAAAGATCTGAAGAAAAAAATAAGGAAAGGGCAAAGATCTGAAGAAAAAAATAAGGAAAGGGCAAAGATCTGAAGAAAAAAAAAATAAGGAAAGGGCAAAGATCTGAAGAAAAAAAAAAAAAAAAAAAGGCAAAAGATCTGAAAAAAAAAAAAAAGGAAAGGGCAAAGATATGAAGAAAAAAAAATAAGGAAAGAGCAAAAAAGATATGAAAAAAAAATAAGGAAAGAGCAAAAAGATAAGAGAAAAAAAATAAGGAAAGGGCAAAGATCTGAAGAAAAAAAAAAAAGGAAAGGGCACAGATCTGAAGAAAAAAAGGAAAGGAAAAAAGATCTGAAGAAAAAAAAAAATAAGGAAAGGGCAAAGATCTGAAGAAAAAAATAAAGGAAAGGGCAAAGATCTGAAAAAAAAAAAAAAAAAAAAAAAAGATCTGAAGAAAAAAAAAAGGAAAGGGGCAAAGATCTGAAGAAAAAAAAAAGCAAAGGGCAAAGATCTGAAAAAAAAAAAAAAGCAAAGGGCAAAGATCTGAAGAAAAAAAAAGCAAAGGGCAAAGATCTGAAGAAAAAAAAGCAAAGGGCAAAGATCTGAAGAAAAAAAAAAAAAAAAGGGCAAAGATATGAAGAAAAAAAAAAAAAAAGGGGGAAAGCAAAGATATGAAAAAAAAAATAAGGAAAGGGCAAAGATCTGAAAAAAAAAAAAAAAAGCAAAGGGCAAAGATCTGAAAAAAAAAAATAAGGAAAGGCCAAAGATCTGAAGAAAAAAAAATAAAGGAACAGGCAAAGATCTGAAGAAAAAAAAAAATAAGGAAAGGGCAAAGATCTGAAGAAAAAAAAAAAAAAGGCAAAAGATCTGAAAAAAAAAAAAAAAGCAAAAGGGCAAAGATCTGAAAAAAAAAAAAAAGCAAAGGGCAAAGATCTGAAAAAAAAAAAAAAAAGCAAAGGGCAAAGATCTGAGAAAAAAAAAAAAAAAGGGCAAAGATCTGAAAAAAAAAAAAAAAAGGGCAAAGATCTGAAGAAAAAAAAAAAGGAAAAGATCTGAAGAAAAAAAAAAAAAAGGAAAGGGCAAAGATCTGAAGAAAAAAAAAAGGAAAGGGCAAAGATCTGAAGAAAAAAAAAAGGAAAGGGCAAAGATCTGAAAAAAAAAAAAGGAAAGGGCAAAGATCTGAAGAAAAAAAAAAAGGAAAGGGCAAAGATCTAAAAAGGAAAGGGCAAAGATCTAAAAAAAAAAAAAAAAAACGGGCAAAGTTCTGAAGAAAGAAAGAAAAACAGATGAGAAATGCAAGGGAAAATAATAAAATGAGTCTAAAGGAGAAAAAGGATTGTTTAAGAAAAATATGAAAGAAATATGAATAGAAAAAAGCAAAAAAGAAAATTATTAATTTAATAAATTTGCAATGTGAAAAGAAAATATAACAAAGGCATCAAGTAAACCATTTCAAATAATGTTGACATTAGAAAAATATCTTTAATGGAGACCGAGATAGCCAAAATAACAACAAGGATCTTTCTCGTTTCCTGTATGTTCTCTTTGTGAATTTTTCCAAAAAAGTAAACTTTTGTCTCTTCCTTTCACATTTCTTTCCTTCTTTTTACCTACCCCAACCCAAGAAATGTTGCAGCACTTTACAATTGAAACTGACTTGGCAGGGAAAGATTCTTTTCATTTCACCAAAAAGCTTACTTATTTAGAGAGCACAAAACAGAAAAAGGTTATTGATTGTTTCCTTTACTTTACCAAATCTGGATCGAGACTGAACTGATAAAGAGTAGTTCTGAATGGACATATCTTTAAAGAGAGAATGTACGAGACACAAAGACAGTGACGTGGAATCACAAAAATTAAATTTATCCAAAAGATTACTTTCAAATGCACTAAATAAAAAATATATACTTCTTTTATACTAAAGTTTATCCAAAACAAGGCTCAGGAACAACTCAAGTTAGAGAGTTGCTGTTAAAATGATTACTATGAATTAGGTATGTGATATGAAAAAAGAGGAGGTGGTAGGAAGTGAAGATTATGATAAGGATGATAGATAGCAATTGACCCTACAGTTGAACAGAGTATAATTTTAGTGTTCTGGAAAGCATAAACATTGGTGTTTGTTCCACAAAGTATCAGTTCTTGTAGAAAATGCTGCCAGAATGGAACTTCTTACATTTGTAATATGGGAGAAATAAGGGTGATTCAATTTGTGAAAGTGGCCAGACACTGAGATTTCTTGCTTACAAATAAAAATCTTAAAATGCTGATAAGTTTCCCATTATTTCTTTACAGTCAATCAGTAAAATTTGTTGCAAAATACATGTAAGAATTTTTGTTTGACTTCCTCTGCTTTGAATTCTGCTGGAGAGTACATATTTTTCTTCAATAAGATTTCTCAAATATTCAGGCCATTAAATGAAAATAAACCAATATATATACTGTTTTATAAATAAATGAAGAGTCTACTCAAATATGGTTATCCACTAAAAATGTTTTAGTAATAAATTCCTGCTGTTATGAAAGCACAAGGCATACTTCATGCAACTATAATTAAAGAACCATTGAGTTACTATAACAGAATTTTAAAAAAAAAATAAAGTTCATATGATATTAAGTTAATATGTAAATAACAGTCAATATGTTAGTTTTATTCTTTAAAATGAAACCAATATTCCATGATATCTATAATATATTTTCATTTAAATAATAATAAAAAAACAACACTGAAAATATCAATTATTTTCAAAATATTTCCTTAACATTAAAACAGCATATCACCAATATTTTTTGCAATAAAATGGCTGCTTCTTACTGGACACGGGCTCCAGTGTTGTCAGGATTTTTACACCTTAATAATCCTTACATGGAACAATGAATTTCTTGTCTCACCTCTAGCACAACTCTGGCCAGTAAGTAGCTTTCATTTCCTTTACCAAGGTGATAACCACTTAGTAGATATACCTGGCTAACATATGTTCCTTTTCCATTTATTAAAATCCTTATTCAGAATGAGATGCTCACTTATTTCTCTAAATCCTACTATCTTGTCCTCTTTTAGACAAGGTGTATATTCTCCTTCATAGAGAAAGAAAGAAATGATACTAGATCATCATTTGATATTTCCATTCAATCACTTCTGCCAATTTCTCACCATTTCTACATTATTATTGATAGCCAAACAGTTCAGAACTTATGAGTAAAACAACCTGAGATGGAGAATTAAGAAGGATCTTTAATTGACCCTTGATCAGCAAATCTTGCATATCTTATATGAATGACTAATTTAATGTTTCTTCAAGTATTTCTGACCAATGTATAAAGGATATTTTTCAAAACTGTTTTTTTTTTTTGCAGTCTATTTCATCTGTACAGTTTTTTTTAAGCAAAATATTAAGAAACAGGAAAGTTCTGTTAAAAAGAAAAAGAGTACGGAACTGTTACATCATATCAGTCCTCTCATAATGATAGTGAATGTTGTGCAATCACCTCACAAAAGAAAAAAAAGACTTGAAGCAACAGAAATTTGATTCTACAGAAAGATTTTGGAGTAACAATGGACTGAACACGTAAGCAACAACAAAACTTTAGTTAAAAAAAAAGGAAACAAAAAAGGACACTTATACTTAACATAAGAGATTAACTGAAATTTCTAGGATGCATGATGAGAAAAGAGGGCTTGGAAAATTTGATACTCACAGTCCAGACCAAAGACAAGAAAGACCAAAGGAAACAACACATAACCTACCAAGCAAGATGGATGGCAGAACAAGGCTTAAAAGAGGTAACAAAAAGACAAAATTTATTAAAAGCTACAAAGGACAGGAAATTGTGGAGAGTCATGATTGCTAACGTTTTGAAAGGAAATGGCACAGAGATATTCTTAGAAAAATTTATTACTGACATGACTAACCAAAATTCCTCTAAGTAACCCACTCATATCATGCCACATGTACAAGGCATTATAATATGCACTAACCTTCCCCCTCAAATGTAATAATAGCACTTTCATTTCTTGTACTAAGAACATCCTTTTTAGCCCATATACACTTAAGGTGCCAATCTTCAGATTTTACAAACAAATCAAACAAAAGTAGGAATATTCCTATTTCTAATAATAATAAACCGTGTTTATTTAATATCAGATTTAAAAATAAATACACACACACTTTACAATAGCGGGGACTTACCTGAGGTACTCATCCGTTCTACTCCCTAAGTAACCTCCCTGTGGAAATACTACGGTTACAATACATCAATGGTTTGTGGCTTTCCAACCCAATGGCTGGTATTTAGAAAATTAGGTTTGAGTCTAAATTGATTTAGTTTGGTTTCCTGAGAGTAGACTCAAAAATCTTTTTTGAGAATTGGTGCTTGTATAATTTAATAAAACTTAAAAAGTTAAAAACATTTTCTTTCAGATTGGATAGAAAAAAATTATTACACTTAATATTTATTTTTAAAAAAATAATTGTAATTTTTCTGTGATTTCGAAAATGCTATTTTTAAGTCTTTATTAAATAAAGACTAAAAAGACGTTTGTAGAATCGAAAATGTAAAGTTTAATGCCGTTTTTGAGTGGGAACATGTTTGTAAAAGTTTTTTTTTTTTTTCATTTTAGCAACTGTTCGATTATTTTTGTATGGTATGGATATTCAAAAAGGAAAATTCTGAATTGCCACATTTGATTAATAATCCTACCTATCACAAAAAAAGAAAGTAATGAATTAATTCAATAAATTCAAAATAATTATCTCACTGAGCATAATTAGATAATTTTAATTTATGACTTCAAAAAGGTAAAAAAAATAATAAAAGAAATGAATTTTTTAAACCTAAAACTAAAAAAGTATAATTTCGGCACTTTTTAAAATTTTAATTAATTTCTTTTTACTCATAATTATAAAAAAAATGATTAAATTCTATTGAGTTTAAATAAAGTGTATATAGAATTAAAAAAAATAACTCTTAAACCACTGGTTAAAAGAATAAGAGTTTATTTTTAAATATTCACTTTCTTGATTATTGCATTGCTGGTGTCCCAGGTTGCATTAATGATTAATTGCTTTTAATTTTCGCTTTTTTTTTTTTTTTTTTTTTTGTCAATGGTAAAATCATACGGTTTCTATGATGACATGAAATAAATAAACGTTATTTTCATTGTTTTAAGTAAAAAGTAAACATTGCTTTCACAAAATACAGTTAATTAATCCTTAAATTTACTAACTGACGTTGAAATCTCTCTCTCTCTCTCTCTCAAATATTGAATTTTTAAGAGATTTTTAAATTTGTAGTTTACATTTTTCAACTACGGAGGTTCCATGAGTGACGAAGGAACGAGCCAATGTCATAAAAATGCCTAAAAAACAAATTATAGATGGGAGTTAATTTTACTTTTAATATGGATTCACTTATGCTTTCAAATAAAAATTTAACGGTAAATTTGCTTTTTAACGCCCGCGCTAAATATCTCTTAAAATTTTCCCAAATCGTCATAATTCCGTGTAAATGTACATGCTGAACTCGAATTAATAATTACATTAAGAAGAAACCTACCGTTTTTGGAGTTATCGACAAGAAAAAATCGGACTTAAGTCATGTAGTGCGAGCGTTAAAAAGCAAATTTACCAATTTAACTTCAAAGAAGGCATTTAAATTATTTAAAACGCGTTTACTAGTTTTTTTAGGAAGTTTTTGGAAGTACCGAGAAATTAATAACATTCATTCTGCAAATTGTCTACTCTAAAAAACCGTCCTTACCTTGTCTATCAGTCGTGTAGAATTACTTTTTTCCCCCGTTTCCAAAATCTGGATTGCCTATGTTTATTTCTTGTTTTAGAAGTTGTACGTGTTTATCCAAACAAGCCTGATTAAGTAGATGGAATATTTTTATCAGCTGGGTTACCAAAAATCATTTAAAATTTTTTATTGTCAATTTCATGTTTTCATACGTCATAGTTGGACAAGTTACGCGAGCCAACCCTCTCATACCTGTCAAACATTTATAGCCGTCAAAACTAAGTCAAAATAAAAAAAAAGCTTGTATTCTCTCTGGTAAGTGAACAATGAGCATTCAAGTTTATGGTATAAATATTCAAATTTTGCCAAATATTCATACCTGATGGACGACGAAAGCCATAAAACTCTCTAAAGACCAAATTTTGGCCTTTCAAAAACAGGGTATTCATTCAGGTTCTTGGTAATAACAAAAATACCAGTTTCGTGTAACCTTCGATGTTATCTCTAGCACTTCCGGCAAGGGCAAGATAAACTGCTAGATTTTGTTTCTTTTTTTCTCAAGATCATTCATTAAAAATCA